ACTTTTTTTCAACACAAAAATTTGACGCTCATAACTAAATATATCTTTATAAACAATAAAGATATATTTATTTGCGATTATTTAAAATAATACATGGTTTTCATAACCTATTTTTTATTGACATACATATATAGCTTAATTCTACCAATAGTTTGGATCATTTAGCTCGTAATCCAGTGGTCTATTATAATATTTTAGGTTTATTCATGTTTCAGGATTATTTACATGGAAATATTTATTAGCCTATTTATAACAGTGTATTTATTGGACATTTTGGTTATTTTTAATAGAACAAAATAACGCTACTCGTAATTTACGGATTTTCGAGTTATTTGAATGTTTAAATAAAAGTCTTAACTATTTGATTGATTCCAAAATGTTATAAAAAACAAGAAGTTGATAAAAAAAATATTAAAATGATTTTCATCTATTTATTGATGAGATTGATGTCAAATTTTTCAAAAACACGGTAATGAAGTTTACAATCTTTAATTACTTGTATAGTTATTACTATTTTTAATACTAAAAGAATTGAACAAAAAATTTTTCCCTCTATTTGCTTTACTGTGATCTTGTTTAATACCGGTATTGAACAAAATTTATTTAAAACCAAAGCCAATAAAAGATATTTTCCTATGCTGTTTGTAAACCATTAGTTTTTTAGATGTTTTTACTAATAAATTACTTTTTGGTATTGTAATTATTGCAACAGTACAATTCTCTTTTGACAATTCGTATCACTCTTTATTTTAAAACTCGTAGTTTTGAGACATTTTCAAAGATACTGATAGAGTTTAGGCTGTTTGAAGCAAGTGGAATTCAAACAGCAAACTTAAATAAGATTGATGCTGCACACAAAACGATTCAATCCGTCAAAACATATAGCGAAAGAACATTTTCTTTAATTAATTTAGATTAGTTCTAAAATTAATATAGAACTCAATAATTTAATTTTTTTTTTTTAACTATATGATTGAGTTATTACTCATCGAGTTATTACTGATTGAATATTTTAAATTCTGAAAAATAAAACAAATAAGAAATTCAAAAAGAAAAAATCTGTAAATTTTATCCATAAAGTTTTCTTATTGGTTTGGCTAAAGTTTTTAAATGTTTTTATAAATACATCGAAAAACTGGTTTACATCAGTATTGAACTAATTTGAATACCAAAAATTGGTATAATAATTTTCCTATATTTTAAAAACGTTTCTTCTGCCGAGAGGTATAAAACTCGCGTTCTGAGAGTTCTTGAGCCGGGATAGCTCAGCTGACTAAAGCGCTCCTAAAAGTACGGAATAATTATTGACTGTAGCAGCAGGATTGCATGTTCAAATCTCGGGTCCGTCTACTCAGCATATGTGTAGTACTTCAGTACAAAGAGAACTCGTCACGATTAGCTCTCCTATTACGACGTTTCCTTCTTGACTAATAAATAAATAATCTAGTCGAGTAAATGAAAGTTATTATTTTATCGTTGAGAAGCCGTAGTGCAGTTTTTCCGCGCTACTTTGCGACAAGATTTTTAGGGTTTCTTTGGGCACCTAAAACAAAAATTTACGAAAAAGAGTAAGTAAATTAAATGGAAATAAAAATATTATAAAACAATAAGAAAATCATACAGAAAAAGTACAAGAAATATTTTATAAAAAGAGCATATTAATAATATTTTAAACTCATGGACACATATCACTATTCAAGTATGACTCTTTTTCCGTTTAAGCAATTGCAACCATAAATGTTATGCTGTCATACTGATATCATACTAAGTTTTTCAAATATAAGGATACTAAACTCTAATTCTATATAAGAAGGTTCCAATAACATTTTAAAACTAAAAATTCAGCTACGTAAACATTACATACTTTGACTTATTCTGGAACATATTATTGCATTAAAGCCTTCAATCTGTTCTGCGTTTTCCAATCAAGTAAACAGATAAGTAAGCATCTGAGGATAGTTCTACATAAATGGGTTTTAATTTAAGTAAAATTTTATATTCCTGGTTGATACTTAATGGTTTAATTTTTTTATACCAATTATATTTAGAACAACCGTCTTTACCCAATGGACAATGTCGTCACGGCAAATTACAACATTGGGAAATGCTACATGAATAAAATTGCTGAGGCTAAAGGCTTAATACCTCCAAGGTTACCATGAGTTTTTCAAAATGCAAAAACCATTTTGCAAAATGCAAAAATAACTTTGCAATTAATTAATTTTTTTGAGCTTTTAAGCACTTGATTTGTTTTTTTTAATTCACATAATAAGATCCATTGCGCTTTAATAAGTTCTAATGCAATTCAGTTTACTTGCTTTAATATATTTGTTTTTACTTTTGACTATAGTGTAGCCATCACAATCATAAGTTAAACTTCTTTAGAAAGCGATTAATTATCTTTATTGCACCAACAGTTTTTATAGCAAATGTGTTAATTTTTTACTGAATAGGTTTACTGCTTTAAATTGAAAGTATCTTGATTTTTGTCACATAATTTACATTTTATAGATAATGCCTCAACGTCTTAAACCTTCACATTTGTGACGGACAATGCTGCAATACATCTAAAACTTTTTTCATGTTCTATTATTTCCGGGGCCGTGCATAGGACGAATCACCAGAGCAAATTGCTCGGAGATCAGCGCATAAGAGGATCCCACTAGTGTCTATCTAACTATCAATATATGAGCTTCATCAAATATGTGAGGACATATCTGAAATTTGGGTGAAAATTCTTAACAGAAACAGAATCAGGAAATGGAGCAACATTTCGGAGAACGGTTTTTTATCAAATTCTTGATTCTATGATTGGTAGACTCATTTCATACAGCCATTCAAGAAATATTTATTTTATATTACCTTTTTTGTTGGAATATTAAAAACTGTCTGAAGCAGATATCAAGGTTGGCTGCCCCAGTTTTTTGCAGAAATATTCATGTGACGTAATTGAAAACGAAGTGATTAAATTGCTTTACACGAAACGAACTTTTGCTTTTAAACTTTAGAGAGAAATCTCTTACCCCATTTGACATGTTAAACAAAATTTTTGAAATGAAGCTTGGAACACTTTACACATGTAGTGATTGCACTCCGCATTTTTGCTTCAATGCCAGTGAGAGTAGCCTTAAGAGAGTGTTTATTTAGTAAATTGAGACTGACCAAGAATATTTTGCGATTAACTATGGAACAAAAACTAATCAGAGATCTGGCTATTTTGAGTGCTTATTAGCACAAAATCTTGACTTCCAATTTGTGATTAAAGAGTTTGCAAAACAAAAGACAAGAAAAATAATATTCTAAGAAACAAAAACTACTTTATTATTCTTATATACCAGTAATATAACAAAAAAATTGAGCAGACTTTTTTTAAAAAAAAAGAAAAGAAAGAGGGTTGAGGTTAGGTCCCTAAATTGAAAGATGGTTGGACCCCTGAAACCCTGAGCACAACCCTGATTATCTCCATAACTTTTTGTTGTGTTCTATTAACGGAAATCTTGTTAAGAGATTTTTCTACCCTGAGAAACGTACAGCTTTATGAATAGTTCCATCAGTAACTGTTTTTGCTGTGGTTGTCAATATCTAAACAACAACATTGTTTTTATTCAGCAACGTTTTATTAAACAACATCAGCAATACCTTTTATTGCATAATCTTTTTGACATATTTTGGTATAGGCGTGGTAAACCAATATACGCCAGCTTGGTCTTGACTTAGTGTTCTCAAGCCATACATCACTCTTTCGTTAATATCATACCCAGCTACTTTTTTTGATGTACCAAAATCTAATTTAAAACCACAAATGCAAGTTAAAATAAATTTGATGCAAGTTTTTTAAAAGATTTTTTTATTCTCACTTCACAATATCAGAGGTGGTCGTTGACATTCTAGACACTCCAGTTTGTCGAATAAGGAATCATAAGTTTTTATATCTATAATTCTGTAGCCACTGACACATTCTGAGTTTCCCCTTGAAACCATTACTTGCTAAACTTTCTTTTTTGATGCGATTTCAATTTTGATGCGATATGCGACAGTGGCGCAGTGGTTAGAGCGCTTGCTTTATAAGCAAGAAATCCAGCTTTGAACATATTTTCGCGTCACGGTAAAGAAGGAAGTGTGAACTTCTTGGTTAAATGTATTCCCTCGGTGCTCTGTGACAAGACCGTTTGGTCTTCTTGGGGGCACCTAAATGACAAAAAAAAAAAAAAAATCAAATGTACTTTCACTCTCAATGTTTACAGAGTCTATCATATTTATATCATTACTATTTATATTGTTTACACCAATATTTACACTTTTTTTTGCCTTCTTGAACCATAAAAAGTACATTTATGTTTGCTAAGACGTTTGTTAGCAAATTTAGCTCACCACTATATTCTATTTTATTATTGCCCTCTTTATTTACTTGTTAGAGGCTTAAAAAGATAACATATAACAAGGAGCACTTTTTCAAAATGGGTTTTTAAAACATATAGTTGAACTTTGACAAAACTTCAAAAAACCGGTTCTTTAACTATAACGCCCCTAGTTCTATAACTAGGGGCGTTGCTAGGTAAAAATTAGACATAAGTGGTCATGCAAAAATTGTCAATTATTTTAAGACAAAAATAGTTACTTTTTAATTGATACAAATTAATATTTGAATAAAGCTTGCACCATTTATTTTTTTCATAAATTTACTTTTGAATTAGCAAAAAAAAAATTTTTTTGAGAAGTTTATCCCCTTAATATATATAAAATTGTTTTCAGTTTCACTTTTGTTTTTAAAAGGGGGCAATTCTTTACTTTTTATTGCAAGAATACTTCTTACTTCACAGTATTCCATAATTTATTTGTAGCAATTAAAAAAGCATATATATATTAAAACGTTACTAATATTTAAAGAAATTTCAATTTGAAATACTTTAAATAAAAATAGATAATCTTTTTATTATTACTTGTCTCCGTAAATTTATAATATTTTGTAATTGAGATCACATAGAAACCAAAACAAGCAAAGTAAACAAACAAACTGTCAATTGAACAAACTGTCTCATAAAAAGCGACTGCGCGTCCACTTTACTGAGTTTTTTTTTCTGAATGTTGAAAGCCAGAAGAAAAATTAACTTATAAAATGCTGCTGGTTACGTTTATAGGATTGCTAGCCTGGATTTCAGGTAAAAAAAACTGTTTTTATTATAAAACATATTCTTGTTAATAACGTAAAAGTCAACCCTGTATTATTAACTGATATTGATAGATGATCTTTTGATAAATCAATTTTCACCAAATCTACAAAATCTAAAATTTTAAAGATTTGGCGGATGAAGCAAAAGAAATGTCAGACCGATTTCTTTTGCTTCCTTTATCTCCTTTTTACCATGTGTAAGTTTTTATATCATTGACACGATATTCTGAAAATGAAATTGTTTTTACAAATTTAAAATATGCTGGATACACAAACGAAAAGCTGGAACCGCCCTTAAATCTACTAAAGAGCAGAAAATATCCATTTTAAACTCCAGACCTTTTTCATAATTTTTAAAGTCAAAATAAAAAGAGAGAAAATACGCTATGATTATTGTATAAGTATTGTGAAACATTTTGTGTTAGCCTTGTTAAGGATGTGTGTGGAGGGAGATGGAAATAAAAGTCAGCACTAAAGAAAAATAAATGATAAAAAAAAAAAAGAAAAAAGAATAAAGAAAGTTAAAAAGTTAGTTAAAAAAAATTTTTTTAGGAAAAAAAAAATTTTTTTGAAAAAAATACTGCAGTGATTTAAATAGTTCTCGTAGCAATGAAATTTATTTTGTAACTGATACAGAATGTTTGTTTTGTGAAGAACTTATAAAAAAGCAAAACTGTGAAAAATTATGAGGGTAATATTATTCTACATGTTGTAAGAAATACATCCTTCACCCTTCAAATGCATCCATATCAAATATTTTATTTCAAATCTTAACGATATTAATTTGTGTAGGTTTTTATGTTTTATAACTATAGTTATTAACTATAGTTATTAATACAAATTAATATCCATATCAATTAGGGCTTGCTACTATTAATATTTATTATAGCTGTAGTCTTAAATTTACATATAATATATACATACTGCGAGCACGGAAAACGCCCCATTATAACCAACCAGTCTCAGGGGCAGATACAGGTTGTAAAGATAAGGGGGGCACAAATCGGGTGGGGTTTAAGGGGAGGAGGTATCCCCCTCCCCTTCTGGGGTCTATAATCAGCCGCCAATGATTTTTAATGAAATGACAACCCAAAATGGACAGTTTCCAGTACCCTTTTCTAACTAGTTTTGTTAGTATAACATTTTCAAAATCATTGTTTTTTTTCCAAGAATGAATAGCAAAAACACTTTCAATTCTCAACATTTATATATTGAATACACTTTTACATGTATTGTTGCAATTTCCAATTACAAAGCAAGAGTATGTTTTTTGATATTACAGAAAGTCAAAACGCAATATTCTACTTCCAACAACATCTTAACTTACTGTAATAGACTACATACTGTGATAGACAACGCGAGAGTGCATATTACATATTATTACATATTATTTTTTATTACAGAAAGTTAAAACGCTGGAATATTTGTCTTAATCTACTTTCATCACGTTCTTAAATTTAACTTAAGGGATTGATGAACAGCATTCTTCTTGGATATTGGCCAGCATACATATCTATAACTGCATCTATAGGGAGTGGTATATCTTTGTGTATGTAAAGGAGTATCAGAGCATTAAATCTATTTTCACCCATGGTGAATAACATAATATACTTCCATGGTGAATACATAATATACTTCTCATATTATTTTTTATGAATCTTAATGTGGAGTTAGCTCTTTCAACACCAGATGAAGTAACAGATGAGAGGAGTAAAATAAACAATATCTTAGTAATGTTTGGAAATACTGTTTCACAGACTTATTAGTCATTGTTTCAACCAATGTACTTGGTTTTTCCGTGTCAGAAAATCTAATCAAATAGACTTTACGAAAGTTTGTTGTTACTTATTTGCTACCATTTTTATTTTTTTCCCTACAAACCGCGTTATATGAATTTGGCTAATGGCCGTAAGTCATAACGCCAACGTATATATTCTATTATAGAACGAAAAGTAGCCTGGACCCTGAATACGCTGTTAGTTTTATAGAGTGAATGTCTGTCTTTTATAGAGTGAATATCTGACCTGAGAATGGATCGACATAATTATAAATAAAAAATTAATCGAATTTTAGGGGGGGGGGGGGGAAAGCCGGCTGTGCCCCCCTCTAAATCCGCGCCTGAGTCTTATAAATATTTGTTTTTCTATACAACCAGGAGTCTAGCCTACTTTTAAAAGAAAGTACAGTGGAGTAGAAAATTATTTGCTGAGGCAGCTTGTTTCAGTATTTTGCTGATCTATTATACAAATGAATGTATCTAGAAAAAAAGTTTGGAACATACTCACGCCTTATTTTAGAATGGTGACCACGAAACAAGGATTTCTTAAATACTGATAGATATATATTATTAACTATATCAAAACAATGTATTAATTTAAAGATTTGTATTAAATCAATTATCTGAAACTCGAGTGATGGTAGATTTAATTTTTCGCAGTATTAAACATGTCTCAAGCTGGACGCCCATTTTGTTACTTTGCGTTGAATAGATTCAATCAAGACTATATCAACTTTTAAATAAAAAACTCAAATAGACAATCCATATTTAAGCTTATAAACACTTTATATAATTTGAAAGCAACTTTTCATCAATAAAAGTGAATGTCTTTTTTATCTTACCAAGAATTTGTAAAGATTTAGAGACAACTGTTTGAATACGTGATGCTCCACTTAAGCTTGAATATAAAAATGACTCCAAAATCACGCTCTTTAGTAGAGTTTCATAGGCTTTAATCATTGAAATATTAGACATTTATTACATATACTTAAATAATATAAAAAGTCTTTATTAGATTAATTTTTGATAATTTATGGAGAAGGAAGCCATGTTCATTTGCAGAAAGCTTGTTGTTATCGTTTATTTGCTTTAAAATTTTGTTACAAATTTTAAAGCAAATAAACGATAAACAAAAACAAAAACTTTGAAAAACTTTACAAGTTTTTTCAAAGATTTTGTAAGCAACATAGGTTAGTGAAGTAAGCCGAAAGTTTTTAGCAAGTAGTTAATCTTTTTTTTCATAGACTGGTCTAATATTCGCTAATTTCTATGGAGTGGGTACTATTTCAGAATTCCTTTAATTATGGTATAGTACCCAGTCTATAGAAATTAGTTTAATGATTATTGTTAGTGGAGTTGCAAAGCTTTTAACACATATTTTAAGTATTAGGGACGCAAGCCGTCAGATCCAAAAATTTATAAGGGTTTGAATATATAAGTTCCTTAATAATGTCTAAGATAGAGACACACAAGTTTTTATTTTAAATGCAGACTTGATATCAATTTCATTTGGCGGTGTAAAATATTCAGATTTTTCAAATGTAAAAATAGATTTAAATTGAGAATTCAGTAAATCAACTCTATCAGGAAGAACTTTTTTAGTCGTTTGTTGTTAATACGAGAAGCGGTTAACTTGAAAAATTTGTTTTTGATAATGAAAACTGCATTTAAATTTTGAAAGTAACAATAATTAAATAGTTGTTTTGCAGATTTTTTTATACTTTTTTACCTTCGACATTAAAAGAAAATGTATTTGAGTTCTGGTCAATTTGGGGAACTTCCTTCTTGTGAAAAAAATGACTGAATGGAAAAAAAGTTAAAATCTACATCCTCTTCATCGACAACTGGCAATAGTTTGACTGTTGCCTGTTGTTGATGCCATTTTTCCTACAAGTTCTTCTTGTTTAGCTGCAATTTTCTTTATACATCTTTTTTTAATTTTCATAAATAACATTTTGTTTATATTGTTCATTTATTCAATTGTTGACCGCAAACTTTTGCATAGTAACAGCTGTTGAGTGTCAGTTATTATTCAAAAAAGAATACTTTCTTTATTTCCCTAAATTTGCATGATTGCTCCATTTTTATATAGAACTATATTGGAGCATAAACTCCAACAACATATATTTCAAATATTTTATGGTTGTCGACGGGTTAGGATAAAATTTTCTTTAGTTAACCACATTGAGAATGACTAATTAATGGTTGGATTTTAAAGCGGTTTTAAGAAAATTTGTTGCCTTTAATTCAAATACATATTTTAACAAATATTTATCTAAAAGATATTTAAAAATAGTAATAAAGATATTAGTTATTTTATTTTTTCCAAAAAAGATTGAGCTTTTTATGTAAATTTGTCTTTGTTGTACACATGTCTTGAGGCACGTTTTTGACGTAAATGTAGCGGTTTTAGTTATGATGTGTGAGTACTATCCTATGTCATAATGACATACATAAGGTACCTTTGTAAAAAGAAAAGTAAATAAGTTTTGGATTATTTTGTTATCTGGTGTTGTTTTATAAAGTAGACTTTTATTCTTAGATATTTGTATGTTTATTTGACTAATGAAGGTTTTCCAAGAGGTATCTTCAACAATCAAATCCTTAAAAATTTGGTATTCTGAGATATTTTGACAGTTATGTCTTTTATATTAATTGTTGAAAGAATTGGGATATCTCATTTTTTTGTTGATTGGAGTGAAATAGAATTTATATAGTTTTTTAATACTTATTTATATAGTTTTGTGATAGCCCAGTGAGCATGAACATAAAAAAGACGTCTTTTAAATGTCTTATACACCTTTTGGACGTCTTTTGAATGTTTTAGACGTCTTTTAAATGTTCAAAAGACGTCTTTTGAACGTTCAAAAGACGTCCTTTTTAGGTCCGGTGCCCACTGGGAGCTTATTTGTCTTAAACTATATTTTCAGTTTTTTTAGCAAATGATTTTTCTTAAGTCAGGTTTTTGATTGTTGTTGAAAAGTAGAATAAGTTTCAAACAACTAAAAACATTATGGTTTTAAAGCTGTTTGAGACATTTGGAAGGTTGTTACTATAAATTAAAAACAAAAGGGGAGAAATCAATAGATCCTTGGAACACACCACAGTTTTTATTGAATTTGAGATAATATTAAACTGTTGCCTGTTATTAATTTAGTATTTGGAACAATTTTAAGGCTTAATTTTGTGTACTCTACTTTTGCATTTTTTTT